GGAAGGAAGGAAGGAAGGAAGGAAGGAAGGAAGGAAGGAAGGAAGGAAGGAAGGGCGGGTGAGCAAGCTAAACTCCTAACTCACACCACATATAAAAGATTGACTCAAAATATTTCAAGGACCTAAATGTAGAAACTAAAAACTCTATAAACTATGAAACTCTTAGAAGGAAACATAGAAGTACATCTTTATAACCTTGGGTCAAAATAATATTCTTAGATACCACATTAAAAGCACACTCAACAAAAGAGAAATCAGATGAACTGGATTTCATCAAAATTAAAAAGCTGTATAAATGAATACATAAAGTGAGATACACATGTACAAGGGAGTATTATTTAGCCTTAAGGGATAAAGTTATGATATATGCCACATGGATGAAGCATGAAAAAATCATGCTATATGAATAAGCCAAACAAAAAAGGACAAACACTATATATGGTTCCTGTGGTATGAGTCAATAGGCAAGTTGGGAGCCAGGGATATAACTCAGTGGCATAAGCCCCTGCCTGGTAAGTGCAAGGTCCTGAGTTCGATCCCCAGTGCCAAAAAAAAAATAAGTTAGAGTAGGCAAGTTTTCAGAGACAGAAAGCAGAATAGTAATTACCAAGAGATAGGGAGTAAGGGAAATAAGGCTTTATTGTTTAATTGATACAGAGTTTCTGCTTGAAATGATAAAAACATATGGATTATGGTGATGGCTATACAACACTGTAAATTCAAATAATGCAAATGAAACATACACTTCAATAGCTAAAACAGTAACTTTAAAGTACAGTACAGGGCCAGCAAGATAGCTCAGCAGACTAAGCGCCTGCTTAGGCAAGCGCAGGGATCGCAGTTCCCCAGCACCACAGGCAGCACTGACCCCACCCCTAGGCACACTGAGCGGGCCACCAAGACTGGGCGTGGTGGTGCATGCCTATGATCCCAGTGTTGGAGAGGCTGAAAATAGGAGGATCACGAGGAGTCCAGGCTACATAGTGAGACCCTGTACCAAATACATAAAAAAGGTGAAGTATAGCTCTCTAAAGTATTATTTAAATGAGTAAATATTTAAAACTTTAGTGCTTTAAAAGACACTATTAAAAAAATGAAAAGAATTGTCATGGTGGTGCATGCCTACAATTCCAGCACTTGCAATGCTGAGGCAGGAAGACTTCTGTGAGTTTCAGGGCAGCCTGGACCATACAGTGAGACCCTGTATCAAAAGATAATTAAAATAGAAAAGAAGCCAGGCATGGTGGTGCACACCTGTAATCCCAGAACTCAGGAGGATGAGGCAGGAGAATTGCTGTGAGTTTGAGGCCAGTATCAGCTACAAAGCAAGTTCAAGGCCAGCCTGAACTTCATAAATAAACCCTATCTCAAAAAGACAAAAGAAAATGAAAAGAAACTCCAAAACACAAGATACAACTTTATAAGTCATATATTTTTTTCCAGAGTGCTCTTTCCAAAAGGGCACTATAAATCAATAATAATAAATGATCTTATTTGAAAATAGGCAAAGAGGGCCAGTGAGATAGCTCAGCAGACTGAGTACCTGCTTGGCAAGCACAGGGACCCGGGTTTGATCCCCGGTCCCACATGCTGCATGGGCCCCACCCCTGGGGCATGCTGAGCCAGCGACCTAGTCCAGGTGTGACGGCACATGCCTGTAATCCCAGCGCTGGAGAGGCTGAAAACAGGAAAATCACTACGAGTCTGAGCTGCATAATAAGACCCTACTGTACCAAATACATAAATGAAAAAATAATAATAAAATAAAATAAATAAAAATAGGCAAAGAATCTGAATAGACATTTCTCTGAAGAAGATATACAAATGAGCAATGAAAAGATACTCAACATCATTCATCAACAGGGAAATAGAAATCCAAATCACAATGAGAACGCATCATCACCACTAGAGCGACTGAAATCAAAGACAGATAATAATAAAGTTGGCAAGGAGGTAGAGAAATGACCACCCTCCTCATGCTTTGCTGGTGAGGATATAGAATAGTGCTGGCACTTTGGAAAATACTTAAAATAGTTCTTGAAAGACGACCTAGTGATTCTCTTAAGATTATACCCAATCAATGTCAATCCTATTCTTCCAACTCATCAGACCAAAATCCATGAGATTATCTTTGTCTTTTTTTCACACCCTGAAAGTTACACATTATGATATTGTCTCCTTCATTCAGAATTTAGTCAGCGTTCATATTGTGGCTTCTATGGATACCCTACTACTATTATGGACTACTGGACTATATTGGATTATTTTGCTGAATCCACGTACCTACAATATTTAAGTGGCAATGGAATACCCATCTCTGACAAAACTAAACAAAAAAGGGAGACATACTGTGGCTTCTAGCCATCATTTAACATTAAAAGTAACCAGGAGATCCTTACAGAAATAGAAGGAAAAGTGCAAGGTAAGCCCAATACATCTGCAACAGAAAGCAAGGAAGTCATCAAAGATGACGGGGGCCTTAAAACAAAACTCAGCTCAGAGGAACCCAATGGGCTGGCATGGGAACCTTTGAACATCAAAAGAACCATTTTTATAAAGAGCAGAAACATATCATGTTAGTAAAACAAGTGCATCAGTGGAAGAAATAGCCTAGGAATAGATCCACAGAACTAAACGGATCTTTGACACAGAAGAGAAGGGATGTCAATAGGGAAAAGACAGAGCTTTCAACAAATGGTGCTCAGACAAATGGACTTCCACAGGCAAAAAACTGAAACTATATCTTTGATAAAAAATTAACCCAAAAGGATCATAAATTAAATGAGACGCATAAGCTATAAACTTGATGGATGATAACACAGAAGAAAATCTAGGTGACCTTGGGTTTGGTGAGAAGTTTCAAATGCCCAATCCATGAAAGCAAAAGCTGATCATGGAGCGTCATTAAGAACCTTCGGGAGACTGGGCACAGTGACACAGGCCTGTAATCCCAGCGCTTGGGAGATCAAAAACAGGAGGATCACTACGAGTTCGATCTGTAGTAATGAGCCTCTGTAGACTCTGTACTGAATACATTAAAATGTTTAAAAAATGTATTAAAGAAAAAGAAGAACCTTTGGAGCTGGGGATATAACAGCAATATAAGCACCTGCCTGGCAAGTACAAGGTTCTGAGTCTGACCCCTGATACGGGGGGTGAGGGGAGTGGGGGGGATGACTTCTGCTCTGTGCAAGTCAGCAAGTGTTAAGAGAATGATAAGATAAGCTATAGACTTTGGAAAAATATTTGCATCTGACAAAGGTCTCCTATGAAGTGCATGAGAATCCATGAATTCATAATGACAGGAAAAACCAAAAACTGAAAAACAATTTTCAGTGGCCACCTGAAATTAGTGATACTAACTTATCACTCATAACATCTCCAAATAAAGCTTTATCCTGGAATAATGCATCCTCACAATGATTATCAGTGGCTGCAAAAAGCATCAGGGAAAAACTGAGGGAGCTTTCCAATGAAGGGACCAGATTGACTCCTTAAAAAATCATGAAAAGAGCCACGTGTGGTGGTGCACACCTGTAATCCCAGCATTCAGGAGGCTGAAGCAGGAGGATCACTGTGGGCTCAAGGCCAGCCTGAGCTACACAGTGAGATACTGTCTCAAAAAGCCAAAATAAAATAATAGTAATAATAATAATAATAATAGAAGAAGAAAGAGAAGGAGGAGGAGGAGGTTTCAGTATTATCTGGTTCAATGTGTGGACTGGGGCATTACATACCCTATCAGTGATGCCCTGGGAAGAACCCAACACCATCAGTAAAACTGACCTTTCCTGAAAGTTTGAAAGTCAATCTGATCAGGCTTCTACAACCAACTACCAGTTTATAGAAAACATGAGGGCTGAAGGAATGCATTCCACAAGCCCGCAGAGCAGTACCTTTCTATCTCTCAGCCTCATCTACTGGTTCTGCCTCTTCCCTGAGAAAACTCTCATGGCACCAAGATTCCTTGGTCTGTGACCAACCCCTAGATGTAAGGGGTAGTTGTGCTAGTAGTCGAAGCCACAACCTTGGCTGCACAGAGCATGCGGGTTAAGAGGCTTGGCCAAGCCTCACAGGAAACCTTCACTCAAAAATGAGGTATTACAAAAAAATGTTCCAGAACTGTCCCAATCCCAGAAGGAAATAACAAACCGACTAAAACCGACTCCTGAAAACACTGCTTCACACTTTGGTTTTCACAGCCGTGAACTGTCCTTCACACACAAGGCTGTAGATGACAGGTCTGCCTCCACTTTCCTGTTTGTGTTCGCCCTTCACTTTTTGGTCCACCAGCTACCAACCGCTCGGCCTCTCACTGTATGACTTTTCCTAACTCCTGCCAACATGTGAACAACCTCCATTTTCTCTTTCTTTAGGTCTTCACTTATGTGTGTCCAATCACATCTCTTCTACCACATTCTCTATTCTGGAGGCTTAGTCTTTCCTCATTTTCAATTCTCACATTGACTTTGAACAAAATCAACCAACCAAAGAACACTAAGATAAGCAAAAATGTCAAAAGTACACAGCACCAGCTGGGAAATGTCTGGTGTGTATTCTTCCCTGCCTGTAACCTCACCTATATCAAATCAGATAAGTGTTATGGGTCACTCAGGATAGGAACCAGATCAGCCAGATTGGAATTTGGAAAGCCTTTTATTACTGAGCTCAGGGCCCCCGGTCAGCTCTCACACAAGAGAGGACCAAAAGGCAGCTAGCCCAGGAGGCAGGGGGCTTTTAAAACATGAAACCACATTCTCTTTGGTAAACAAATTCAGTGCTTTCAGGGTCATTGTGACCACTACCCAAACTAAATTTCCTGGGGCTTTGTTTTAGTTTCTGGTTATCTTGCACCTGAGTAAGTACCTGCAGGCAATCTTGCATAGCCCAAGGTTACAAGAAGTTAAATCCCATTTATTTTCCTTTTGAAGTCATCTCTGTAATCTAACTTTGTTTACAGGTATTGGTTAGGTAGGAATTTTATCTAGCAAACAGCAAGTAACAGCCACTATATACTAAACAACTTAGAACAGTGGTGAGTATACATTTACAACAGAAAGCACAAGATTTACATTTATAATCTAAAATGTGAGTTGACCTATTACAATAAGATGTTCCTACTTTTAAAGAAATGGTGATGATGGGGCTGGTGAGATGGCTCAGTGGTCTAAAGCACCTACTTAGAACAAGTTTGGCAAAGCACAAGGACCGCTGTTCAATCCCCCAGCACCACATGCCAGCCAGCCCCGCCCCCTGGTGGGCTGAGCTGGCTACACACACACACACACACACACATAAATAAAATTAAAAAAAAAAAAATAAAAAATAAAGAAATGGTGATGAAAACAAAAATTATATATAACTGGATTCACATAAGGAATCTAGCTAAATAAATCATGCCTTTCCTGCCTTAATCTCTACAGATCTTGTGTTCTATACTGAGATATGAATATAAGAAAAACAAACTTTTTTTGTTGTGTTTTTGTTTATGCAAAACTGGGCACTGAACTCAGGCCCTCGCACTTGCCAGGGAAGCACTTATTCACTTATTCCACGGAGCCATCTCCCTGGCCCAAGAAAAACAAACTTTTTAAGACTCCTAAAAAACATCATCGGGGCTGGGGAGATGGCTCAGTAGAATAAGCCCTTGCCTGGCAAGGACAAAGACCTGAGTTCAATCCCCAGTTCCGCCAAAAAAAAAAATAAATAAAATAAATAAATAAATAAAAAATAAAAAAAATAAAATCATCATCAAATTCCACTCAGAATAGGGGGGGAAGGGTTTCTTTCTTTCTTTCTTTTTTTTTTTTGTGATAATGTTTCACTCTGCAGTTCAGGTTGGCATTGAACTCACTTGTAGCCCAGGCTGGTCTTGAACTCACAGCGATCCTCCTGCCTCAGCCTCCTGAGTAATGAGATTACAGGTGTGCGCCACCACCCCCAGCCTCAGTTTACTTTCTTAAATTACAAAGTATTATTGCATTCTCTACACAGCTCCAGCAGTATCTTAGAAAATCAAACATAATCTTTGAAGCACTAGAAGCCACTGGTGAGGATCCTCCCAACCACCATCATTCTGTACGTACCTTAATTTACTTGTGCTCCATAATCCACTTAAGTGGTTTCCAATGTAGAGGAGAGGCAGCGGAAACAGCTTCAGTTAAAAAGAAAGGAAGAATATTGGGTTAGGTCTCCAAGAATATATTCTCCTCCACATGGTAGAAATGGTGACATTTGCACCCCATCAGTAATCAAATCGTTTGAGTTTCTTTGCCTGTAGGAACTGAATTTTTCAGAATCCAAACTTTCCCCAAATGATCTGAAAAGGTAGGTGTCCTAGGACACCCTTTACCCTAGGGAGAGGTGAGGAAAACAACTGTAAAGAACTAACACCTTGAGCTTGCTCCCATCTATACTACCTGGACAAGGACCACTGAGGAGTGGGGACCAACCCTGGGCAGAGTCAGGGAGTTGAGGGGAAGTACTTATAGTCTCCAGGCAGAGCTGCAAAAAGCTTGCAGAAAGGCAGGAATACTTCTTTCTGTGCATGTCTGCACTCTTCTGGACAAAGGGGAACAGAACTCTCTTACTGGAATGTCACAGGTTTGTTGTTCTCTCCAAAAACTGTAGGGCTGGATGTGGCTCAGCGGTAGAGAAACTGCTTTGGATGACACTCCCTGAGTTCAATTCTTAGTGCTACCCCCTGAAAAAATACCAAAAAGTTGTGTAACTTTGGAATTTGTTTCAAAGCCTACAGCATAAAACTTGTACTTGAATTAGGTTGATTGAGCTCTAAGCTTCTTAATTATTTTCCATCAAAATACCTTACCAAGTATATTGGTGAAACAAACAAAATGTAAGGTCTAGTCTTCCATAAGAAAAAATAGTATCTTCTGTTAAGATAACACAGAGCCTTCTAAATTGTATATTGATCCATAGCTATCATGGTGACTTAACATTTCTTTTTCTATTAAAATTCAGCTGAGCATGGTAGCAAATGCCTATTAGCCCAGCACTCAGAGGGTTGAGGCAAGAGTCACCACAAGTTCAAGGCCAGCTATTATGGTTTATCTGGATTCCCCACCCCACCCCCACCCCTGGCCCCCAAGCCTCATGCAATCATGGGAGCAAGCTTTTCAGAGGCAGCGGAATCTAGAGTTTGTGATGTGTTCATTGTCTAGAGCTGGGACTGGGGATGTGAGCGCTACCCCTGTCCCAGGGTAGGTGGCCAAAAATACAATATAAGGGAGGGAAAAGGTTTGCTCCGCCCTCTTGCTCTTGTTGCTTTTGTTGTCTTCCTCTACCCCACCTGCCATGAACTGCTGCCCCTGTGCCATGTACCAGCCTGCCTTGGAGCCAACTGATAGGGAACTAACCCTCTACAAATTGCAAACTAAATGTATCCCCCTTTAACCTTGGGTGGCAGGTATTTTAACAACAAGAGTAATCAAGGTAACAGCCCATGTTATATAAGGAGTTCAAGGCCAGCCTAAAGTATGTAGTGAGACCCTGTCTCAAATACAAACCAAAACAAGGGGCTAGGTGTGGTCATGTATGCCGGAATCCCAGCACATGGGAGGGAGGCTGAGGAAGGAGGATTCTTGCAAGTTCAAGACCAGGCTGGCTACAAAGTGAGCTCAAAGCCAGCCTGAACTGTTTAGAGAGACAATGTCTCAAAAAGACAACCCCTCCCCCAAAAAAAGCAAACAGAGGAATGGGGGAAAAAAGAAACTAGTTTTATCATGTACAGGTACAAATTCACTCATGTTGAATGTCATTATTATGTATTTCTAAACTGTACTGATAAAATCTGATTACAGAAAAAAGGACATTATGCATGTAAATCAGATATAACAGCCATTGACATGTACTGACATGCTAAGTAGGATCTATCCCAAAATGTTATAAAATTTTATTATCAGGAGATTTGCACAAGAAAGAGGCTAGAAAGAAGGAAGACAATGGACACGGCCTTTGCCCTTTACTAGTGAACCTTCTGGTTGACAGCCTTCAAATGACTCGACAATAATACAATTTCAGTATCATAGCTTTGAACAATTTGGGTATGGTGGTGCGTAATGTAACTCCAGCATTGAGGGAGGCTGAGGAGAGAGGACTACAAGTTCGAGTCCTTCCTTGGCAATTTATGAGACCCTGTCTCAAAATACAAAGGGCAGAGGATGTAGCTCAGTAGTACAGCACCCCCGGCTTTGATCCCTAAGAGGAGGA